GCGCCCCTGCCAGCGCGCGACGCACGATCGACCCGCGCGACGCACGCGCGACGCACGCGCGACGCACGCGCGACGCATGCGCGACGCAGTCGCGACTTTGCCCGCCCCTAGCATTTCTCCGAGCAGCAATGCGCAACGGCCGTCGGCCCGCTGTGCTCGCGCTGTTCACAAGTGGCGGCGGCTGCGTCCTCCATTGCGCCAGGAAGGGCGGCGCTTGCCCCTGTTATCCCCCTTTTTCCTTCCTCGTCGCCCCCCCTCTTTTGTCATTCCTCTTCCTTCGTCCTCTCTCCTGCCTCGTCTCCCTCTCTCCTCCCCTTCTCCTCCTCCTTTCTACCGGCCTCCCTCTGTCTGTCCCTTCCCCTTCCTCTCTCGTCTTTGTTTTTTTGTTGCTCCCTTGCCGCCCCGTGTCCCTCTTCATTTTCTGTTTCTCCTTCGGCGCCCCTTCCACGGCCGCGGCGCGTCGCCGCGAGCGGCGCCCCCGCCTTCCGCGAACGGCCCCGCCGCTGGCGGTGGAACGGGAAGATTACGAGGGGAAAAAGGAGGGGGGGGGGCAGGGGCGCGAGGCGGGCGCGGCGGCAAGGGCGGCCCGGCAGGGGAATGGGGGGGAGGGGGGGGGCGGAGTGGGCGGGTGCTTCTGCAATGGTCATGTTGGTGATAATGGTCGTGGTCGCGTTCGTCGCCTTGGTCGCGCTGGCGGCGGTCGTGCCGCTGGTGGTGGGCGGGCTGGCGGTGGTCACGTCGGTGATCGTGCTGGTGTCGGTCGTTGTGGTGGTCGCGAGAAGCGTGGTGGTCGTGGTGGTGGTGATGGCGGTAAATGGTGTTGGTCGTATCGTCGCGGTGGATGTGGCTGCGGTCGCATCCGTTTGCGGTGATCGTGGCGGCGGTAGTTTTTGCGCTGGCGGCGGCTGCGGCGGCTGTGGCGGCGGCTGCGGGGACCTGCTGGCCTATCGCCGGGGTATGTTCAGCAGCATCGCTGCATTTGTAATGTTAGAGGGATTTGCTGATCTGCCGAGGTAGCCCAGCGGCCGCCTTCTTCTCGCCAAGAGGGCCGAAGGCGACCGGCCTTTTCAGCGGCCGTGGAGAGGGCGACGCGCGTGCGATCCGCCCCGCGGGTGTCCGCCGCGCTGGCGACGCACTCGCCAAATTGCCCCCTTGCGATGGCGACGTGCACGTTCGAGAGGACGGCTGGCCTCTTCGGCGGCCGACGCGCGGGCGGCGCACGGGCGACGAATGCGCGACGCACCTCCTGTCGCGAGGGGCGGGGGGGGTCAGCGCGCCGGTCGCCTTACTGGGCCTTGACACCCCTTGGAGGCTGGCGCGCGCGCGGCGGCGGGCGGACCTGGCTGCCGCGGGTTGGGCCCGCCCCCGGCGGCTGCTGCTCGAGACATGCGCATCGGGATTATTGGCAAGGGGGAGACCGAGTGCTGTCCGATATACCGCTAGGTAAGCAGCGCGCACCTGCTGCGCCTGCGCAGCAGTCAGCTTGGCCCAGGTGGGTTCCCAAAAAAACAACACAGATGAGCTGGGGGCTTCCGAAAGGGCAATCTTCGCCTTGAGACTCAGCGCAAGCCGTGGCGCAACAGAGAGTCGGATGGGCTTGAGAGCCCTTCTCCCCGTAGAAGCCCTCGCAGCCACTTCAGGGCCCATGGGGCCGCCCGGATCCACCTGGGACCCCAGGATTTTATGGATCCGAATAACCGGAAACGAAAAACCCCACTTGGGCGATCGCACCTCGGTCAAGGCTTTGGCTGGCAGCGAAGCAGGAACGAGCTTGCCCCCCCCCCCCCCCTCCCCTGGAAACAATGAGCAGCTTGGTTTTGAGCGTGTTGGGTTTGCACCCTGAGCAACAGGCCGCGCAGCAAAAAAAAAAAAAACGCACTCGGCCAACTCAAGTGCCTTCCTCGGGACCTGGTGGCAACGCACAACAGGGGTCAGGACGGCGAGGTCGTCCACGAAAGACACGTCGCTCTTGGCCCTGCCCCAGTCATCGGGAGAAGCCACATGTGCATCAGGGGGTCCAAAAACGTCCTGGAGGCTGAGCTCAGCCTGGGACATTCCTTCCTGAACCACAAGATGAACCCTCCGAAAAACGGCATTAAAGGAGTCCGTAGCGAACGGCGTACCTGGCCGAGAGCCCACAGTCGGGGCCGCAAAGTCTTCAGCTGAGCGCACCTTCCAAAATGATCCACGCTGCGCCTCTTGAATCAACTTGAGAAGGTGTGGGGGCGGTGCGCGCGCGCGTGCGCGCGTGTGCGCGTGCGTGCCAGCTGGGGGTCTTCAAGGAGGGGGCCTTTCAGTGGCTGCTCCTTCGCCCCAGCAAGAAGGATTGGGGGGGTGTCCATATTCTCGGGCGCATGTGCCGGGCGTTCTTCCTCGCCTGGAAGCGAGAAGGCCAACTGACGAACAGTGCTGTAGAAGGCCTGCGCGAGGTCGAGGCAAATAGTGATGCTCGAATGCTTGAGGTTTTTGCACGCTCGGACGAACAGCCTGGCCCCTAATGTGATCATGTCCGCGCTGCGGCCGCCCACTCCGCCACGCTGGACATCGAGGGGGGTCCCCGTAAAGAAACTGAGAACTAGAGAACGCACGTAGCGGTGGTAAACCTTCCAGACCGCACTGGCCAGCATGACGTTGCTCTGATTTTTCGCGGCCGAGGGGGTTCCCGGGGCTTTCAAAAAACAACCACTTCACCGAGTTTGAACGCCATTTGCTCGCGCTCATAGGCAGAAACCTTGGCCAAAAGAGGGCGTAGCAGCTTGGAAACCTGCTGTGGAGCTGCTCGGAAGAGGTCAGGCGGGAAAGAGTCCAGGCTTGGAGTTTTGCCTCGCCTGAGGCCGCGCATCATTTGTTTCAGATCGAAAAGGGTAGGGACCATAGTCACGAGACGCTGCTCAAGGTCAGTGAAAAGCTCCGGTAGTGAGTTATACTCGGCAACAACCTCGTGTGGGGTTCTAGCTTGACCCATCTCGACTCGACTGAAATGATTCTGCATGTGTTGGACGACCTCGGCCTGTGTTTGTAGAACGCGCGGTGGAACTGGGTGGTCCGTCGGTTGGAGCCTCCGCGCCCTCGTCAGTCATGTAGGGCAGCACGTCCGAGGCCTTGTTGGCGCCTCTCTTGCGACCTCCATGCGCTAGCATGTTCAGTAGGTTCCTCCACTCCGCCTTAGGAAGTCGAGCGTCAGCAGAAACTTTGGTCTCTTCAGCGAGACGCTCGAGGAAGAAGGCCGAATGGTCACGATCAAGCGGCAATGCCATCTCAGGCGCGCTGTGAACCAGCGCGCGGGTGAGGCGAATGGCGAAGTCCTCAACGCATAGATCCCCCGCAAGGAACAAGCGCGCCGCCAAGCACGTGTTATCCAAAAGGCACGCAAGTGCAGGGGGGGGCGGTCAAATTCTTTACGCTTCGCGTATCCCCACCAGCCCATCTCACAGCAGCAACTCTTGCGAAGCATGCCGACAGTCGTGTTTTTCAGGCGTGTGTCCGCTTAGCCCAGCATATCTCCCCTGTTCCTCCTTTCTCCCGCCTCCTTGTACATCTTCCTTGTGGGGGGGAGCGGGAGAAGGGCGAGGCGGAGGAGGAGGGAGAGAAAGCGCTCCTCGTGATTTGAGTCGTTTGGGGTTTCTCGTCCTGGTGTGAGTCGTTCGGGCCCTTCTTCCTGGTGTGAGTCGTTCGGGCTCTTCGTGGTGTGAGTCGTTCGGGCTCTTCGTCCTGGTGTGAGTCGTTCGGGCTTCTCGTGGTGTGAGTTGTTCGGGCCCCTCATCCTGGTGTGAGTCGTTCGGGCCCCTCCTCCTGGTGTAACTCGTTCGGGCTCCTCGTGGTGTGAGTCGTTCGGGGCCCGCGTCGTGGTGTGAGTCGTTCGGGCTCCTCGTGGTGTGAGTCGTTCGGGCGCCTCGTCCTGGTGTGAGTCGTTCGGGCCCCTCCTTGTGGTGTGAGTCGTTCGGGCTCTTCGTGGTGTGAGTCGTTCGGGCCCCTCGTCCTGGTGTGAGTCGTTCGGGCTCCTCGTGGGGCCTCTTGGGGGCCTCTTGGAGCCTCTTGGGGCCTCTTGGGGGCCTCTTGGGGGCCTCTTGGGGGCCTCTTGGGGGCCTCTTGGGGCCTCTTGGGGCCTCTTGGGGGCCTCTTGGGGGCCTCTTGGGGCCTCTTGGGGCCTCTTGGGGGCCTCTTGGGGGCCTCTTGGAGGCCTCTTGGGAGCCTCCTGGGGGCCTCTTGGGGCCATCTTGGGGCCTCTTGCGACCTCCTCAGAAGCGCAAATGAGAGCTGCCCCCTGAGAAGGACACCATGAGCCCACAACCTTCGTAAAATCAATGATTTTGCTATGACGGAAGATGAGCGCGGCCCCCTCAGGACTCCAAAATAGGGCCAAAACCGTAGTAAAATCAATGATTTTGGATTCCAAGAAAAGCAGAGGGGCCAAACTGCGTCCCCCCGTCGGGGCCAGAATCCTCGTGCGGGTCGTCGTTTTTTGGCTCTCCCAGGAGTCGAGAAAGACACCCTTGCCACCACTCGGCCCGCCCTCTCCAGGCCCAGGGGGAGGGGGTAGGGGGAGGGGTAAACCCCTCCCCGAAGGGGAAGAAGGGGGGTTGAGGACAAAGCGGGCTCTCGAAACCACTCACGCCCAACGGGCTGGTGGGACTCTCGGCGAAATCTGGCCAGATCACCGCCCACCAAGCGCCCAACAAAACGTCGGATGGGCATCTCTGAGATCGCCCTTCTGGGGGGAGGTGGATATGCCAAACCACCTCTTCAAAGCACGCTGGATCCCTCTCCGCCAGGTGAGCAGGCCGAGAAAAGGACTGGGTCACGTAGGGTTGCCTCGCTGGGCGAACCGCGGGTCGAAAGGCCTCGGTGGCGGCATCCATGATGCTACCCGAAACGTCCCAGCAGTGGGTGTTGATGTCCTGGTCCCAGGGAGCAAGCTGAAGGTCCTCGAGGGCCCCCTGGAACAACTTGAGAGCCCCTGGGTCAGAGAGTGTTTGCTGGTCCAGGGTAAGCTTTCGCACCTTGGTTGCGGGTCGAGGCTGCAGCCCAGCGAAATGTGGCGAAGATCGGGTAGTGGTCTTTCACCTGCATGCCATTGTCGAAGCTGCAGGAGACGAGACGCGAGGAGGCGTTCTCGTGCACGTCGGGGGATACCAAACTACAATCTATTCTGTGTTCGCGCCCTTTGTTAGGGACAAAGGCGTGGCCGGTGTGGGAATCGAGCATAAACGTATTGAGGCGCCGAAGATTGGATTCTTTCAGGTACTGGTGCACACGTACCCCAACAGGGCACTCATCCTGGCGGGGCTCTTGATCTCCCACAACTTCAGGGAGACGTGACCCCAAACGAGCGTTAGCGTCGACGAAAGCGAGTGTGGGGTTCCACTCGTTCGTCACCGCATCGATAGACTTCCAGAAGTCCGCTCTGGAAAGGGGGGGTCTTGATGTGGGGAACGTGAGCGACGAGGACGACCAAGAAGAGGGCAGGGGCCTCGATACGGGCGCACAAGATGCGCTCGGACCTGTGGAGCACACGCACATGACGGCAGGCAAGACAGAACTTCTTGTGGCCTCTAGTGGAATAGGGGCTGAGGGCGTTGATCCAGAGTTCAACTCCAAGGCCGTCCTTGCCCGCCCCCGATGACAGCACGTAAAACCCATCAGCAATGCGAGACCCCTGGGGGGTGCGAGCCTCTTGAATGCCCACGAGGTGGGTGGCCTCCGCGGCCATCTGAAGCCTCAGGGCCTTGGTGCGGGCCCTCCTCAATTTTCCAACCATGCCATGCGCGGCCTTGATAGTGGCCGATCTGGCGTTATACTGGGCCACTTTGAGGGCCACGGAAACAGGCTTGAGGTCGGGATGGGCGGGAGGGGGAAACAACAACCCCCCAAGCTGATCCAGACCAGCCCTGCAGGAGGGCGTCAGCGTGTTAGTGCCACCCAAGCTCTCAGGAAAGGCCTGCCCGGTATCGGGCGACGCATGGGCCATCCAGCCCTACTCGTACTGCGGGGCATAGCTCGTGAGGCTAAGAAGAGCCTCAGGAAAAGGCGCGGGGGCCACAACACCCTTGGAGACGCCGCCAGCCAACCAGTCTGCCATGGTGTTTCAGGGATGCCCCACGTGACCCTTGATGTGGCCAACCGAGACATCACGAAAATGGCGAAGTTGGGCCCAGGCAGCGCGAGCTAGGCGGCCGATCTCATCCACGGGCGGCGGGGTGGCCAAGCCTTGTAAAGCCCGAGCCACGTTCATAGAGTCCGTTTGAAGTGTGACAGGTACCGAAGTGGGTTCAGCTAGGAGATAAATGATCGCCCGAAGGGCTCCACCACATTCACTCTCCGTACTGGTGGCCACATTGTGTCGGATATCGGTCCTGAGGGATCGCTCGAGATCACGGGCCCACCATCCCAGAAAGGCGAAGCCGGTGGGATCCTCTCCGGCTACCACCAAGGCCCAGCTTGCTTGCACCTCAGCCTGGCTACGCACGGATCCGTCCGTGCACAGGGTGAGATGAGAGAAGGGGCCTTGGCGGGGGGGGGGGGGGCGAGATCTAGGGCAAGCCTGACCTCGTCGGGTTTCTCAACAGAGGGAACACACAAACTGAGGGGGACGGGGTTCTCCCTGGCGACCTGAGGCAGGGGCCCATACCTCGAGGCAAACCTAGGGAAGCACGAAAACTGAGGTCACCTGGCAGGCACCATGGGGGCAGCAGCGTCAACTTCTTCACTGAAGTGCTCTAACCACAGTTGGCCGATGTGATCGCCGTCGGGCCCTTCCCAGAGGCGAAGGACATCGATGGCAAGAGGAGAGTTGAGAAGGAAGGGACTGCTGCTCAGGCAAGCTGCAGCGAGAGGGCCGAAGAAGCCCTCAATGAAACCATGGTACTGTAACGGACCAACCACCTTGCAGGTATTGGTGCATGTGCACACACGCGCGTGTATGAAAGCATGTCTGTAACACTCAGAGCGGGGTGGAGGAGCGGTGTCATCCTGGAAGAAGGAGGGGAGGGCAATGCACATGATGGACACCAGTGTCATCAGCAATGCAGCGGCCAGCCCCTGAGGTATAGGACGCGCGCGTGCAGAAAATTGTTGGTGACGAGCAGCCTGCGCGCGCCTAGCGTGGTTACCCACTTGGTGCTCTCTAGCGCAGGCTTCAGAATTAGGAACAGGTATGCCAGGACCCAGGTTACCCGTTGCATACTCCCCATCCCCAGTCACCTCACCGTTAGAGTCAGAAGCAGAGAGGGCCAGGCTGCTGAAATGCATCGCTGGGGGCTGCGCACAAGTAGGAGCCCAAGCCCCAGGGCACAGCTATTTTCCCCAAGCAGTGCCCTCCACCTCGAGAGACTCCAAGAAATCTATAGGTACATATTTGTGAACCTGTGTGGCAAAAGCGTGCCGCGCCTTAAATCCCAAGGACAGGCTTGCTGTAGCATTGTGCTGCACACCGTTGCCCGGGCCAAGTGTTCCCATGCCACAGACGCGCGGGGTGCAGCAAGCGCGGCCGCAGTGGCCTCTAGTTCCCAAATGAATTCGTTTTTTGGGTCCCAGCAAACTGTGTTAACGCTGATGCAGGAGCAGCAGTTGGTGGCATACTTTCTGCACAAGAACTCGACCGAGGCTTTGAGAGCAGATCGGAGGGGCTTGGTAGAGGAGGCGGGCGGAGAAATCAATGGTATGCCACCAACTTGATAAAAAGCTAACTTGGTCTTGGCCCCATCTTAGTGGTCGACTCTTCGGCAACTGTGGGGCTCTGTGCACAAATGTTCGGCTCAAATCTGGCGGGCCTCCTTGCGCGGGGGGCTCTTGACGTCTGGCTCTTGAGTCGGGTCGATCACGACGACCTCTGGGTGGGCAGGCGGCGTGCTGGGCGCCGCCGCCGCTGCCGCAGCTGGCGACAGGCTCGTCGCCACCGCCGCCGCCGCCGCATCTGGCGTTGGAGTCGCCGACGCGGGGGCCTGCTGCGCAAGGTAGGGATCCTCCTAAGTCTCCATTGTCTCCATCATCGGCTGGGTTGGCGAGATCGGGTAATCCATGTGAGACGGGACTGGTACCACTTCTGGATCGCTGCCGTCCGTAGTAGCCGTAGCCGCCGCCGCCGCTCCACAGCTCTGCGAAGGGGCTGTGCTCGCTGCTGGCGTTGGGCAGCCTCCCACAGGCGTTAGCGGCGAGCGCTGACCAGGCGGGAAAGGCGAAGGCGAGGCCAACCGTCCTCTCGTGCTCGTTGGCGGTGTCATGGGCACTGGTGAAGCTGCTGCGGCTGCCTGTGCATTCGAGTGCATCGTCTCTGTCATGTTCGCTGGCTGGGGCCCCGTCGGCTGCGGGCCCCCCGCTGTAAACCCCGCGGCGGGGTTGTTCTGCGGCAGCAGCAAGTACTGCGTGATCTTCTTCATGCGCTGGTCTTGGGTCGCCTGGATGCTGAGCATCTGGCTGATCATGAACTGCATTTGCGCCATCTCGGGGTTCGGCTGCTGCGCGCTGGGCGGGGGCTGAGGGGTGCCCTTGCCATGCGGCGGAGGAGGCGCGGCAGGCGGCGGCGGCGGCATCGGGCCCCCTTGACGGCCCAGCTGCCGCAGCTGCAGCCGCGGCCGCCGCGGGGGGTGCCGCCCCTGCTGGGTGAGCCCGAGCACCGCGCGGCGTGTGGCTTGCATGATCGGCGCCCTTGGCCGCGGCGGCACCACCACCTGCTCCTCCACCTTGGTCGTCGTCCATATCGTCATCCTCCTGCACCTCTGCCAAATCCTCTAGCTCGGCGATGCTGCTTCGAATGCGGTCGAGCTCATCCTCCGCCCGGCGTTCGTCATCGATGAGCGTCTTCACTCTCTCCTTGATATCTCGGACGCGGTCCAGCACGCGATCCTTGGCCTTGCGTGGGTCGTTCAGCTGCCTGGTGACGGATTCTGTCGTCGCTTGCATCAGTTTGATGATGCTCATCTCCTCTTGGATCGGTTGATCTCCGTGACCAGCTTCACGTGCAGCCAGGGCGAGCTTGGCTAACTTGGTCAGCCTCTCCCGGTTGGCCTGCTTGAAACTCTTGAGCTCCTTGATCTCGGTCGGGGGCTCCCGGAACAGATCTCGGCCTCTGGCGGTCGCCATGACTTCAGCACGCGTGGCTGGGACCATCTTGGCGATGAAGCTCTTGATATGGCGGTCTTCTTCCTTCTTCTGCTGGCGCGGCAAGCTGGCAGCACGCGGGCGCGATCCTCTGCCGTTGAGGCCGAGGGAATGCGCGAAGGGACCACCTGTCTTCGGCTTCATATGTTCACTCTGCCCATAGCTGCAACCGCACAGGCACCTCCAGTGATGCTGCTTGGCGTACCTTCCACACTGTTGGCAATCCCACTGTACGCCTGGGCCATGGGCCCTGGCACCACCTGGCATACGAGGGGCGCCCCTTCCTGCCATCTTGTTAGCGCTGTGATGCTGTCGGAGTAGTTGGCGGGCCTTGAGCGCCCTGAGTAGCAGTCGGGCACTGGCTCGCCTCGCCCTGGCTCGCCTATGCCAGGTGGGCTCTCGGCCCTGTCGCTTGATCGACCTTGCAAGAGTCAACTGTGAGTGTCGCGGCACTGAACACACAAATACAGTAAGTGTAGGAAAGAGACGTGCAGTGCACGCTTAAGGCTGGCCCTGGCAGTTCACTATCTGAACGAACAATCTGGCGACCTCCTGTAGGTGCCAGAAGACCTGGGGCCAATGCCTCCTCCTCCTCCTCCTCCTCCTCCTCCTCCTCCTCCTCCTCCTCCCCCTATACGATTGTCAGAGGTAGTAGTTGTGCACGCGTGTCTCACACAGTGCATAGCTGCGTACTCCCAGCACACGCGCAAGGCCGAGTCCTATCCTATCCTATCCTATCCTCCTCTCCCTCCCCCTCCCCCTCCCCCTCCTGCCCCTCCTCCCCCTCCTGCCCCTCCTGCCCCTCCTCCCCCTCCTCCTCCTCCTCCTCCTCCTCCTCCTCCTCCTCCTCCTCCTCCTCTCCTCCTCCTCCTCCTCCTCCTCCTCCTCCTCCTCCTCCTCCTCCTCCTCCTCCTCCTCCTCCTCCTCCTCCTCCTCCTCCTCCTCCTCCTCCTCCTCCTCCTCCTCCTCCTCCCCCTCCTCCTCCTCCCTCCTCCTCCTCCCCCTCCTCCTCCTCCTCCTCCTCCTCCTCCTCCGACTGCAGTCACTGTTGCCGCCAGGCAGCAGAAGACCGCGTCGGGGCGCGGGCGCCCGCCCGCCCCCTCTCCGCGGGGGCCGCCAGAGGAGCTGGCCGTGCAGCGCTCGGAGCTGGAGTGCCGCGGCAGGGCGCCCCCGCCGGGCACGGCCGCCGGCCACCCCCCCCTCGATCGGGACGATCTCGTCTCGGGAGGAGGAGGAGGGAGAGGAGGAGGGGGAGGAGGAGGAGGAGGAGGAGGAGGAGGAGGAGGAGGAGGAGGGAGAGGGAGAGGAGGAGGGGGAGGAGGAGGAGGGAGAGGAGGAGGAGGAGGAGGAGCACCAGCAGCAGCAGCAGCAGGAGGGTCGGCAGGGGCAGGCGACGGGCGGGGGCAGAGCGGCAGCGGGGAGCGGCTCGGAAGGGGCAGGAGCAGAGGCTGAGCCGGGCACGGCCGCCGGCCCCCCCCCCTCCCAGATGGTCTGGTGCCGGAAATTTTCGGTAGCGATTTCGACGCACCTCGAATTTCGGTGGCGACCGGATCTTCGTTTGAGGGCGTTGAAACGGCGGAGTTCAGAACGCTCTGATACCGGTTATTGGGCGCTACATGTCGGTATTTCGGCAGCGACCGATCTCTGCGGAGCGCTACCGGAGATTTTCGGTAGCGGACCATCAGGGCTC